CACCCCCCAACCATTCTCAGTTGACGGTGGAGAGAGAGAAGTGCGTCCTCCACGACAAAAGGAAGCGATGGAAACTTGTCCCTCTCAGTCGCTTCGCTATTAGCTCCTCTTCCTCCCCTCACTCCCCGCCCCTCTCCGCACTTGGGATTCAATTTGCCCTCCGTGCGCGCCACACACACACACACACACACACACACCATATATGAGCTCTCAATGAGGTTCGCATGTGCTGCCTCTTCCCCCTGCACCCCCCTCTGCCAGTTTTCCTCCCTCTCTCGTTCAAAAGCTTTACTTACTACTGCCGCGTCTATCTGATACATACATAGGAAGTATACAGTATCGGATAAAATACAATCAACGGAGCGCGTTTGCAGAGCTTCGCATACAGCAGCGCAGTCAGCCCCCTCCCCCTTCTTTTCCTCGCTCTCCCTCTCTCTTTGCATCACTTATATTGTCTCTTTTCCCCGGCGCCTCTGACGACAAGAGGGATGCAAACGGCGACAACGATGGACGGATGGGAAAAACTACCCTTCTGCACACTTAAGATTTCTTTCGAAAAATCCGCGAGAAACGCCGGGCGCTAGAGGGAAGTTTCTAGAAAAAGGAAAAAATCCGAGATCTGGGAATTTTTGTTTTTTTCTTTTTCAGAAATTTTTCGGAAAACTTTCTAAGGCTTCCAAACCCTACTGAAAGTAGAAAAAAAGCAGCTTTTGGATAACTTCCCTGTGCATGGGACAAGCCGACCGTGCAATCAGATTAGCGCACCCCCTCCCTCCCCCTCCAAATCTACTTCTAACAACGATTAGCCACTCCCTCCCATCCACCTGCTGCACGCCAGTCAAGACAGAAAGGGCGCCGCGTTTGAAACGCGCGCCGCCCCGACGGAGAGGAGCGCTCATTAAAACGTTTCCAAGTCGCAGCCGGCCGGCACAGCAATAACTAGATTGGCCCCCTCTTAATCGGACGCTTGCCCCGCGTCTAAACTTTTCCCAGTTCGGCACTGCCGGTAAAAAACAGACAAAGGGAAAAAAAAAAAACAAGAAATAATAATAAGTGTTTGAATCCGAAACTTTCATCGAGTGGTAAATACTGTAAACCTGCGACCTGCTGCGTCATCACAATAGTCAAAAAAAAAAAAAACAAGCAAAAAAACAACACATTCTGAATCGGGAACAACCCTCCGATTTGCCGTATCTTTCACTGTATCGGCCCTAGAAGTGGATATATTTAAAACAATGGCAAAAAGTCAAGTTTTAATTCTTAAAAACTGCGCTGGTTTGGTTCATTTGTTTTTTTTTTGTTTTTTTTTAATTCTTGAGCAAAGCAGAAGGGTGGGGTTTAGATACGGTGTTGCCCCGTTCCAGTCTTTTGTCATGCCCAAGGAGCAAGGCCCCTCTATCCTGCTTTTAACACAATTTTTGGAGTTCTCAGCCCATTATCGTGGGAATCGCAAAACACCAGTTCTCACTAAAATTCAGTAAATGTACCCTAGGGAAAATGTTCTTCCCTGACTCTTGCCTGAATTCACGCTGAACTCGCTCGGACTGACTATGGAGAGAGCATAGGGACATCTCACCCTGAATCTTACATCAAAAATCTGAACTATGGCACGCATTCAGGAGCTGGACTGGGCGGGTCGGCGACGGTCGGCGAGCAGGTAGCGGCGACGA